CCCCAGGACTGTTTATGGAAGTAGAAAGCTTCTCCCACGAAATGACTGATGGTTTCAAACTGTTGACCTGGTGGATCACAGCACAATCACTAGATCACTAGATCACTAGATCACCAGGGTTCCACTGACCGTGTATAGTTATTTAAATTAAATAAGTGTTAAAAATTTGAAATTTAATTTCTTACACTAACCACATAGGTGCTCATTAACCACATGCAGCAATTAGCTAACATCTGAACTTCATGTTAACTATTTTATGTTTACACAAAGTCCTGCTAGATAACACTGATTAGACTTCTTGGTGGAAAATAGGACTTGATTAGACTCTTTAATAGCACATCCAGACTGTCATTTTGTATGTAAAACCCACCACCATCGAGTTGATCCCAAGTCACGGCAATGCTGTACCTGGCTTCTGAGGCTATAAAATCTTTACAGAAAGCCTCTTCTTTCTCCTAAGGAATGGCTGGTGGGATAGAACTTTGGATCTTGCTGTTAGCAATTCAACATTTAACTGACAGCACCACCATGGCTCCTTTATAGAACATACTTTTAAAAACATCACATTGTAATAAAAGAGACACTGATAAAATTTATTGAGCAAAAGAGTAGATTTTTTAAGTGACCCGAGAGTCTTTCACAGTATAAACATTAGTTGATATTTCAGTTCTGCAAATAAGCATTTGTAGAGCTGTGGTGCCACTGTGGATACCTAGTGGTTGCTAACCACAAGGTCAGCAGTTCAAACCACCAGCTCCATGGGAAAAAGATGAGGCTTCCTACTCCTGTAAAGATTTACTCTCAGAAACCCACAAGGGAAGTGTTCTATAGGATCTTTATGAGGCAGAATTAAATCGATGACAGTGAGCTATTTGGATTGGTTTGGCATTGGGTGCCACTTGGGTTGGGCACTAGACTGTTAATCACAAGGTTGTGTTCAAACCCACCAGCTGCTCCCTGGGAGAAAGATGAGGCTGTCTGCTTCCATGAAGATTTGCCGGACTAGACAATGGAATGGGCTTGACGGCAGTGGGTTGGTATTTGGGGTACCCTGTCCCTGGAGCCCCTGGGTGGTGCCAGTATCTAATGTACTTGGCTAACCAAACGATTGGACATGTGAGCCCACCCTGATACATCCCTGGAAGAAAGTCCTGATGATTTCTTTTTAAAAACAAACCACTGAGAGCTCGATGGCGGCAGTGCTACCCTGATGGCCGCGAGGTTACCGTGAGTCAGAGTCAACTCAATGATGACCAGTTTCTAGTGATTATGTACCCGCAGTTTAGTGCAGAGCTCTCAATGGAAGATGTGAAAATAAAAACAAAAGGCCTTACCCTCAAGGAACGTAGAGCTTCGAAGAGACTTGTATATATAGCTAGCTTTAAAGCCGTAAAGTGAAGGCTAATTTAATAAGCAAAGTTTAATCTGTTTATTTGTATATTCTAAATGTGGTATTTAAATAGATAAGGTTATCGCTATCTTCAGGAACACTTCATATTTTAGTTTTTTAGGATTATTTCTTTCTGACATTTACTACTTTATTTTTATAGGGCAATGGGCAAGTCTGTGGATAGTCTTAAGTTTGTAGCATCATGGAAAGGTCGACTACAAGAAGCCAAGCTGCAAATTAAGGTAACTGACTCATTTCAATTGTTCATCTGAGTCTGAAAAATATATTACCACCAACTGTGTTACATAGATCCGGAAACTCCAGCCTCGGAGTAAAAGATCTTTAAAGAAAAGTTAAAATAAAATAAAAAAATCTGAAAGACAAGAAGAGGGCAGTAAAGTTAATGGGGTAAGATTTCCCAATGGAATTCTTATAGGACAGCCCTTATTACCCTTGAAGAATGAAGAAGTATATTGCTGTGATAGAAAAATTCTTTTTTTTTTTT